CAGGCCTGCCCGGGTGCTGCTAGCACCTCCCGTGGGCACCAGCTGCCCCCCAGCATGCCCCCTGCGCCTTGTCGGGGTCCGGGAGGTCCCTGGGTGCGAGCTGGGAGCAGCGCCCATGGGGTGGCTACGTCAGGAGGGCCGAGAGGCTGTGCCTCGAGTGGGAACTCTTGGGGAGCCATGGGGAGAAACGACCTCTGCAATGACATGTGGTTGAAGGTTGGGCTCCTCACAGCCCTGAAGGAACAGGATACCAACCACTCAGCCCTAAATTATTTTATAAGTTTCGTAGGAATTGCTTCACCCTCCCCTGAAATGCAGCAGCTGTTCGCCACTGCCCAGTGTCCTGGGGCAGGAGGCGAGGGAGGGTCCTGCGAGCATGGTGACAAGGGGACTGCGGGCAGGGAGGATGCAGCAGTCTGTGCTGGAATTTGGCTGGGGCAATGACAGTAACATCCTGTAGCCCCTCTGAAAATGCTGCATCCTTCATTGGTGATGGTTTGTTTGCTGGAGAGATGCTTCGAGCAACATCATTGCTTTTGTGGGCTATTTTGTCTGGTCCAGCAGGTGAAGCCCTTAGCAGGGACCCCAAAACCTGTTTCTGCAATGCATGTGTACATGTGGGTGGGTGGGAGGACTTCTGTCCCCATCTATGAAGTCTTTCATGTAACTATCAACCAAACACAACCTTCTCAGGCTATGGAGTCAAGCTGAAAGTGGAATGGCCCCTGTCCATCACACCCACGCAGCTGGATGGAGCCTGCTCCATGCCTTCACCGCTCTCCTAGCACAACCGTTTAACCCCTCCCATCTCATTATAGTAATATATTTATGATATCACCCTCAAATTTCCTGCCCTTAACAACCCCAGCAGGCTGGGAGGGAATGAAGTGATTTTGGAAAGTATTTAATGTTATTTCAAGAGGGCAAGAGGCGGTCGGAAAACAGATAGGTGCAGGAACCCTCGGCTGACAGGGCTCTCTGCAGGACAGCCAAGGAAAAGGACTGCACCTAGTGCGAGGTGTGTGTTTGCCTTTCCTACGTGGGGCTGCAGCCTGGGTCTAGTGCCTGTTGCTTCACTCCCTTGCTTGGAAAATGCAATAGGGCTGCTGTTTACTGCCTGCTCATCTGCTAGATCTACTCAACTCCCTGCCCTCCTGAAGGGCAGCAGCCTAGGTGCTGTAAAAAGACTCAGCCCATATACTCATCTGAACACGCACAGGAGAGATCTTGCTTAACACAAAGCTGAAGCCCCTCAGACCTAAGGAGGGAAGATGAAGGTCCCCGCAGCGTGGATTTTTTTTTTCTGGAGGCTTCTGCTCTTCTGACAGCAGCTAGCAGGGGTAGGTGCTCCGAGATGCCATGTAACAGCCTGAGCTATCACACGTTCAGGGCGGGGTGTACACGCTCAGTTCCCCTGTACACACATTTTGAAAGGCTTTTTGATTCTTGGTGCTCCAACATTGCCTTAGAGGAAGGAGCCTGGAAGGACAGAGAAGAGTGTGGTGACAAGTCTGTACAAAACTGGATGTTTCAAGTCAAAACTCACAGTTAGCGAGGAAGGGATGCGTTAAGTGAAGCTGCGGTGTGAGCCAGGGGATTTTTCTGAGCTTGCTCTTTTTCTCTCTTTAGGTGCTCATCTCGGTGGGGCCACGCTGACCATGCTCAGGAGCTTCTGTCTCCAGCTCATGTCCTTGGTTTGGATCCTCTTGGCCCATCACCAGCTTGCCCGAGGTGAGTCTCTGTAGACATGGGTACTTCTCTTTCATATCCATCTTTCCAAACCTACCATTGGCATTGCTGTAATCTCCTCAGTTTTCCATGCAAAATAGAGCTGGTCTGACCTGGAAGACCAGAAGATGTTGTTCAGTCACCCAGCGCATGGGTGGTGACCTGTGGCAACTGTAGAGAGCCTCACTCTGGTACCCATGGGGGTTGCAGTGCCTGAGCAGACTGGCAGGCGGAGGTTCCACTCCTCTGTCTATCTCAGGGTGAATGGGTACCTGAATGGATGAGCCTGTTTGGAGAGGCAGGCAAGGGGGAAAGAAGATCCCAACAGCTAATTGTGGACCCTGTGAGACAAAATCCCTTCCCAAACGTTAATTTGCTTTCCCCCACTCTGATAAGCAATGAATTCCCAAAGCCATCTGCCAGGAGAGATGGTTACAAGTAGGAAAAGCCATGATCTCTAGGCTTGGGCTGAGCAGTCCCAGGATGCTTCTCCAGCTCTACAGTGCCTTGTTCTGGGAGGCTCTTATCCTGAGCAGTGGGACCTGTTGCCTCACTGCAGCAACAGCATGCATGGGGGATTTCTACCCCTGCTCGCTTCCTAGGCAGCACATCATGAAGCCTGGGGAAAGTCTGAGCATGGCTTTTGGCATGGGGTCATTAACCTGCCCCAGTCTGGGATGGAGGGGCTCAGTCTGGTAAGGGCATTCATCTCCTGGGTCTGGCCTGGGGCGACACTAGGCTCCTGCAGAAACCTCCTGCCTCCTGACATTTGCTGTGGCTTTACTGCCCGTGGAGTCAGAGTGAGCCAGCTCCCTGTCAGACTAAGATGCAAGCAAGTGATGGGGGGAGAGAGGAAGGTGAAGATGAAAGAAGACACCTTGCTGGAGAAAACAGGCCAGTGCCAAGCAGAGGATGAGAAGTGGCACAGCGAGGCCATGGCTCAGTTACAGCTTCTGTTGCCTTTAAATAAATAAACAGAACTGGATACCTGGCTCCATGCCTCCCCATGCCAGAGAGGAGTGTTGGCAGCTGGGTTCTGGAGGAGGGCAGGAGCCCCGACGAGACCACTCTGTGCCAATAGCTGTCCCTGGGGATGGGGACTTCCTGGAAGATAAAGAGGAGCCATTCTTTACATTTCCGTCCTCAGTTCCTTTGCGCCCCTTACAGTACCTGGCCCTGAGCTTTCCCACCATGCTTGCTGCATGACCATGGGACCAAGGTCCCAGGTGGGTCAGGCTCTATTACACATGTTGCCTTAATGCACAGTGCGGAGTGCTGGGCAAACCTGTCTTGCCCAGAAGGGCCCAAAGTCTAAGGGAGGCAGCAGAGAGAGGTGGAGATGATTGGAGACCCAGTAGCTTTGAAGCAGGGTCCCATTTCTGAATAAAGGCAGTGTTATTGCTGCTTGGGTGACTGTGAAATCCTCATCTCTTGTGTGGCATCCAGCCATTGAAAGGAAGGTTCTGGGGAAGGGCAGGCTGAGTGCTTAGGAAGTAAGAAAAAAAAGCTGTGAGCCAGAAGGGCCATGGGCAGATCTGGAGTCATCTGTGGTATCTGCTTAACACAACTCCACCCGTTTCCTGCCTTGTAGGTGATGACTGCAGTGAGCGCTGTAATCTTGCCCACGGCTGCTGTGACCAGGATGGGAAGTGCAGGTACGGCCTTTGGGATGGTTTCCCAGTGCTGCCATATCTGCGGGAACCCTGCACAGCAAGCAGCGAGCTTTTCCATAACTGGGAATTATGCTTGGGTTTTATCATGCTGCCATGCCCTGTCCTCCTGCAGGTGCGACCCAGGCTGGGAGGGCGAGTACTGCGAGGACTGCGTGCGTATGCCGGGATGTCTCCATGGGACGTGCCACCAGCCTTGGCAGTGCATCTGTCACACCGGCTGGGCTGGCAAGTTCTGTGACAAAGGTGAGTCGTGGGCTGGACATCCCAGCCTCTGGTGCTAGGGGCAGAAGCCCAGCATACCCTGATGGACAGGTGAGCCAGCCTGGCCAGAAGCCACCCAGGTGATGCTGTTGGGCTGCCCGGGAGATGGGATGTTGCTTGGCTGCGACATCTGGGCAGAAGAGGTCAGGCAGCCGGCACCTGCTGCCTGGTTGTGTTGCAAGAGCTGCTGCAACACCAGCCAGCCTTGGTAAACAGAGCAAGCGGTGTCATTGCCTTTCCCAAGCTGTGGCTGGGCTCTGGGCAACACCTTCTGCTTCCCCCAGGGCTTCCTGCCTTTGGCAGGTGGCTGGTGGAGTCCCCTCCTTTGGCTTCAGAGGCTCCTCTGTACCATGGGGTCCGCACTGGCTGACCAAATGTCATGCACAGCATCTTTATGCCATGCAGATTTGCAGTACGATTTGCTTTCTCTGCATCCCTAAGCCTGTGCACTTTGTGGACTGTAGCTAGGAGGCACTGCATAGGTCCTGCATTTCTATTGCTGCAGAGGCCTGTTGGATGGGTGGAGGGAGAAGCTCCTGCAATTTCTCTATGCCCACTGGGTTTCTGTGGGTCTGTTTGAACTGAGTTGGCTACATTCACCTCTTTTCTCGCTGATTTCCACTTTTTCCTTTCCCCTCAGACATACACATCTGCGAACACCAGTCGCCCCCATGCCAGAATGGGGCTCAGTGCATCTATGATCGAGACGGGGAATATTCGTGCCTGTGTCCAGAAGGCTTCCACGGGAAGGACTGTGAGATGAAGACGGGGCCTTGTGAGAAGGCAGGGTGAGACATGGGAGTGAGGGCAGTGAGATTACAGACAACATTGACTTTAGGCCATGCACTGCCAAGGAGTGGCCCAGCTGGGCTCGTTGTCTGTGGATTTCCATGTGCTAACGGAGTTAAGCCAAAACTATCTTTGGCTTTGGTTTAGCTGTGTGCACCACACAGTCCCACTGGGGCAACACCTTTGTTGTAGGTGAGATGAGTTGACAAGACGTCGTGTCTTGATGGAACGTCAGCAGGGCACTTTTTCTCCTCAGATCACTTGGCTGGAGACCATTCCTGGTGGGTGGTGGGCCCATGCACAGCCACAGCCTTTGAGGAGGTCCCACAGCCTCTCACTTGGGGAGGTGAAAACTCCTGCTTGATCTTCTCTTTGACTTAGTTGCCCCACAGAGAGAGATGGTACAGGACCTACTGGTCACATGAGCAGCTCTGTGAGTTCTCCTTCCTGGGGTGGGGGAAGCTGCTTGCTCTCCATGGCCATGACCCGCCCTTGCTGTCTCCACGCAGGTCTCCGTGCAAGAACGGGGGGCAGTGTCAAGATGAAAATGGCTTTGCCAGCAACTTCACCTGCCGGTGCCTCGCTGGCTTCGTGGGGGCTCTCTGTGAGAACGATGTGGACGACTGCCTGATGCGTCCCTGTGCCAACGGTGCCACCTGCCACGATGGGATCAACCGCTTCTCCTGCCAGTGCCAGGTGGGCTTCGAAGGGCGTTTCTGCACCATCAACATCAACGACTGTGCCAGCCAGCCATGCAAAAATGGGGCAAAGTGCTATGACCGCATCAATGACTATGACTGCTTGTGTCCCGACCGTTTCACTGGCAAAACCTGCGAGATCCCCATCCCTGAGCCCACCTGGGCTCCCCACTACCAGCCTGCGAGCCATGACAACAGCAGAGCTGTGAAAAGCACCACCAGCGAGATGCCAGCGGTGACACAGCCGGAGCCTGTCAGGACCGCGGTCACGGGGCGGCGTGTGGCCAACCACAGTGAGAAAGAACCGGGGGGAGGGTTGTTGAAAATCTCTGTGAAGGAGGTGGTGACCCAAAGGGACTCGGGGCTGAGCGAAGCCCAGCTGGTGACAGTGCTGGTGTTCGGGGTGCTGACAGCAGTGCTGGTCCTCGTCACTGTCCTGCTCGTGCTGAGGAACTGGCAAAGGGGCCGCCAGAGGTCAAACTGGTGCCAAAGCTCTTCCCAGGCTGCAAGGAAGCTGCAAGACCAGGAGTGCCAGGTGGGCATGCTCAACACTGTCCTGATTGAGCCCAGGAAGACAACAGAGCTGTGAGCTGCGAGGACTCTGAGCTGGGCCCTGGCACCAAACCCCTCGAACTGCACCTTGGGGAGCCGCGCCAGCACAAGGTGGGCAGCAGGGATGGGCTCCCAGGGCAGCAAATGCATCTACAAGTCCCCTGGGCATCAAGCACTGGTGTGATGGCCCTGCCTGGGTCTAAGCTGTGTGCTCAGCCAGCACCCATGGGCATCTGAAAGCAGGGGTGCGTTGGGCAAGCCCTGCAGGGGAGTGGTGACATGCCACTTGCAGCAGCCCGTGCCGTGCAGTGCTGGTATCGTCCGATGTGAGCCCTCAGGAGCAGGACAGGGAGTGCTGAGGAGGGCACGGCCTTCTTGGAAGCCCAAATTCTGCCAGGCCCTTTGTAACTCCTCTCTGTGACTATAGGAAGAGGATTTGTCCTCATTTCCTCTGGTACTGGGATGTTTCTCCTTGGGCCTTCAGGACGATTGTGGCTGCACAGGCCTCCTGCCCCAGTGCTGGATGGGGTGGCTCTCAGCTGTTTCTGGAGCTGTCATTTCAGATGCCACGTCCCTAGGGAGTGAGCAAACACCTTTGCTCCCTGGCCTTGTGGTTCTGTGAGCCAGTTCAAAGACACTCTGGAGATCATTTGGGGGTCCCCTCATGCCCTTCTGCCCTGGGTGATGTCCCCTCCTCTTGCTGTCAGACTTGGAGTTACACTTTCTGTACTTGCCTCCTGATGATCCAGCGATCTTCTTGCCCCCACTTACTGAGCCGTCCCTTAGGGTCTGGCTACAAACAACCAAGTTCCTTCCCCTCTCCAGTGTGCACTTCTGCCTCACCATTTGCAGGCAAGGAGGAGCATGGCCCACTCCCCTCTGGGGTCCTCCAGGCCTGAGCTGGTCCTTCTCATATGCCCTCGCAGGTGAAACTGGAGATGGACAAGGCTGGGGAACTGCTGTGGCAGGTTGAGGAGCAATATGAGATCCAGACCCTTCTTTTCTCTCCCAGTCACTCTGACACAGGCAGCTCCAATCAGCCATTATAGTGTTCCTTGATACAGCAAAGAACTCCCCACAGTGGATGTGAGGACAGGCTACCAAGCCTGGGGTGACCGTAACAAAAGTAAGATACTGTCACTGCTAAAGCACAGCTAAGAGGCAGGAAGTAGATGGCCGGGTCACTCGGCCATTGGACTAGGTCTGCTCCTGCCTGCGCTGCTCTGGTGTGCAGCAGTCAGCGTCTCTCTGCCAGGGCCAGGGCTTCCTGAGCCTCCTCATGGGCACAAAGGGCTAAGCAGTGGGGTAAAAAAACCCACAACTGAAACCCTGCTACTGGCCTGTAGGGCTTCAGTGCTGGGTTCAAGATGGTGTGAAGAAAGCAAACAGAGGACTCAGCACTCAGCCAGGAGGGAGACCTGGGAGAGGGGACTGGGGCTTCATCAGAAAGATTATATTTTTAATACATGGATGGATGATGTACCTTTATCAAATAAAACAAATACAAGCCCAGAAACAGTGTATCAGAGAACCATAAAATAATTTAGGTTGCAAGTGACCTCTGGACACCACCCTGATCCCAAAACTGAAAGCAGCTGTGGGTTTGTGCAGCTGGGAACAGGGCAGGAGAGGTAGGGAGTTTCCCTTGGAAAAGTGGTCTTGAAGTCAGCTAGCCTTAGATGCCTTTCATGTAACCACATTCTGGCCCTTCAGGGGAAGGGCTTTTCCACTGTAAAGTGGAGGAAGAGCAGCAAGGTCCCCGGGTGCAACCTTCTGGGCTTAGAAAGGTCAGTGTCCTCTGAAAGTAGGGACAAGGTAGGGTTGTCTTTGTGCCGCGAGGGCACTACTGCTGTATGTCACAAAGAAGCCTGTGTCTGAGGGTGGAAAGAGGACAGGGACCTGAATAACAGAGCTTCACAAGGATGTTTCCACTTTTATTTTAAATCGCACATGTGAGACTAAGTCTCAGACTAGGAGTCACTGATTGTTCAGTAAGCAGAAATTGTTCAGTGAGCCTGTAATCTCAAAGGGGAGCCTTGGAGGGGAGCAGTATCCCAACAGCCAGGCTTGCATGGCCCTAAACACCAGGTCCCATATTCCCTACTAAAGGAAGCGCTGCAGTGCCATGCTCCTGTCCCTGAGGACACACAATCACTGTCTGCAGGCAGGAAAAACCCCTTCCCTCACCCTAGCAGCTCCTGGCCCTGCAGTGACAGGGCTGATTTCTGAGGTGACAGGAAAGCCAGGCACAGAGCCAGGAGGGCTGCCTGGGCTCAGCCCAGGAGGGAGGTCACTGCTGCCCGCTGTGCAGGAGGCGCTGGAACAAGGAGCCGTCTTTCTGGCTTAGGCGGGTGGGTGAATCCAGCTCTGCCACTCTCCCAGCCTGCATCACCAGCACACGGTCTGAGTCCAGGATGGTGTTCAACCTGTGGACAGCAAACACCAGGATACACATTGGTGTATCTGAGCAGAAACCCTGGATACTGTTTCCCCTGCTACCAAGAGTGTCCTAAGACATTCCCAACATCAGGACCTGTGGACCATTTCCCTTTGCTCTCAGGGGCACACTGCAGTCCAGCTCCCAGAGAGCCTCTGCACGCTGCTGAAACGCACCACCTCTTAGGAGAGCACAGCAATACCTTCCAGTTGCTGGGCAAGACAGGCCACCAGGAGCACAGAGGGAAGCTCTGCAGAGGGAAATCTCGGGGCATGCCCAATTCTAGGGTTGCGCAAGATGTCTCTGTTCCCACAGAAGAGTCATTGAGTTGCTTCTCTTTGCCCCTATATTTCCTCACCTGCCACCTCCTGAGGCTGCAGAAGTGGACTTGTGCATCAGTTGCCACTCCCCAGCTATGTGGCATCTCTGCTTACACTGCCACCAGCAGTGGATTTGCGGTTGCCAGCCTGCCAACCACCGCACTCACACCACATGTGTGCGCCCTGTTCTGCCCAAACTGCCAGCAGGGCAGCAACCTCTGGCCCTGGGGAGGGAAGACA